CACTCAATACCTCCCCACCCAATAATTGGAGCTGGTTCCCTTCTTAAGGAACGAAAACTATTTTAAACACCAGGAATAATAAGGCATAAATTTGGCAAAAAAACCGTAACTTTTCCCAGAGCCATTTGGAAAACAAGACAAGCCCTTTAATTACCAAGTAGAAATAAAGTTGTCAGGCATTTACTGACAGTTTTTCAAAATGATCTTTAGCACACAGCACAGAGAAAATGTAACTTCAGTGCCCAATGTTAGATCAAAGTTCGTCTGCCGTCAATTAGAATGAAAGAATATATGAAGTCTGAGGATGACATCTGGTATTTCAACATAAAAATGGAAACTCTCAGACTTAAAAAGGCTTTTCTCAAGATAATCTCCATTTAAAGCTCAACAATGTAAACTGTGACCAGATTGAAGTCTGCAAACACTAGAACACACAAAAGTGAGACACTGAAAAGATGACTTTTATTTAGCTGGCATTTTCTTATCTGTTAACATGGTATGAAGCAGTATGTGGGCTGTGCAGAGCAAAAGGGAACACCATGGATGGCTGTGTTGAATTACCCGAGTAGTGTAATGTTTACTGCTCCATAAAACCCATCATATGGAAATCAATTCCCATCACAGAGGTTGTTGCTATATATTTTGGCTGTTGAATTGTAAATTGAATGGTGGAAGCTTAAGTTCAATATATAATTTGTCTTAATACAGGAATTTTTTAATTTTTGATTTCAGCAGTTACTCTACACAACTATGACTTCTTGTTATGAACAAAAGCAAAATATAAATAGTTTGTGGCATGATGTATTAAACTGATTCAGCTCTTGTAGTCTGGCAGGAGAAGGGCAGAGAAAGGCCATGTGCTTATTGCAGTGGCATTCAGTCAAGCCCTAGAAGGCCATTTCTTTCTGTTTAGATAAAACAGGTGGATCTTGGGAAGACTGAAGGACACATAATGATGAAGCAACCTTTCGCCTCCTGGTTTGGTTTATCATTTTCAAAAGGTCAGCTGTTAAATGTAGGTAAATACAAACACTGTTGCACAAGAACTGGAACTAGGGAAACCCATATGGCCATATGCACTCGCCAAAATGGCTCTGGCTTTTTTCTCCCATGAACTCATCACAAGCTCTGTTTCTCTGCATACCCTAAATTTCCCCCTGCTTCCAGTGCTCGCTGCCTGTTGCCCTGCTGGCTCACACCCCATGCCAACTGACCAGCTGGGACACCTAACATCAAAGGAAAAGTCACAGAAAGCAGAATCTAATGAGATACCTGGCTTTGTTTTTATTTTAATTCTGATTTCCCATTTTTCTGTAAGATTTTAAGCTGATGGTGGTCAATGTGACATACAGTATCACTGATGATCAGGGAATGCAGTCCCAGCATTGCTTTTGAGTCTGCAGACATAGAGAAAACTGAGAAGAGCAAGAGACTAAGAGCAGAGTAGGAGTTTCCATCTTTCCTTAACAGTACCTTGACTATACCTACCCCAATAAAAAGCACTTGCATATGAGTCATCGATCATTTTAAAGCCTGTATTAGCTTGTGAGCAGCTTATGAGCTGAAATGATTAACAGTCATTAATCAGAGGGGTGGGGAAAAATTGCTGCTCCATGGCCTGTTCTTCCCCATAGAAGTAGTCGCCAGCCTTATTGCACCTCTAAGAGAACAGATTTCCTAGTTCACAGGTTCCCCTGAGAGGAAAAATGAGGTGTACAAGCATTTATCCTTCTCACCATTGCCTCTAAAGGTCAGGCAGCTCCTATTCAGAAGGTCTGCATGCCAGCTGTGAGGCTAAGGTCAGTACAGAAGTACACAGAGAGCCAAACATCTTGGGAGAGTGGCTGATTCAGAACTCAGTAGTGAAAGTGCTAATAATACAGAACAGCTTAATATTTTATTTTTTATTTGGGAAAAAAAAGTAGGATTCCTATAATTCATATAAATTAGAGAGAATTTGTTCTTTGTCCAGAACTGAGGAAGATGTGTATGATGAAACATATAGGATAACCTGGCATGTTTAGATGCCCATGAACCTCAGGAGTAACAGAATAGTTGGCTGAGGATTCTTCTTCACTGACCTTGATTTTGAAGGCACTGGGGGAATTCCAGGAGACTGAAAGAATACTTATGCTGTGCTAGTATATAAAGTGTTGAAGTGACTTGACTAAGATAAATATCCCCTAGCAGTGACAGGGAGTGTAGAAAAAACATGCTGGTAGAGACAACAAAGAGTGACAGTACTCCAAGAATGAACAATAGGCACAAATGTCAATTGTGGTGATTTTTCTGAGACTTGCCAAAGAAATCTTATTTCATCATTTCAGAATACAGGTTTGTACAGGTACCTGTGAAGATGTAACACACCTAGGTGATTACAAGGGGCTTAATTTTGTACTGTGTAAAACCTAATGAAAAGTTAGCAATATACCATGTCAGAAAAGCCCTTGCTAAGTGAGTTTAGAAACAACAGTTCCCATGAGTATAGTTTTATTTAGCTCTTCCATCTATATTTCAAGCGTGTGCTCCATGTTTTCCTCCCTCGTTTTGTTTGCTAACATATCATTCAGAAGCTCTTAGCTAGAGGGAGGTGTCTGGGAGCGGAGCTGGTGCTGCAAACAGCAGGATGTGGGTACAATGGGAATATCAGGGTACAAGGTAGGTCTGGAGCACATGGTGAGCAGTACTCAGCACTGGAACTAGAGGAGCCCAGGGCTGCTGCTGGGTGCCAGACCACAGCCAAGCTTCTTGGATGGACCTGTTCACCCACTGCCTTCAGAGCAATCTGAGTTCCCTGTGCAATCCTGCAGCAAACAAAAATGTCTAGTATAAAAAAAAAAATTTACAAGGGCAAAGTGCTTTTCATGGAGAGATGGAAGGTTCCATCTGTTTAGCTTGTCAGCAAGAAAAGTGAGAAGTGACTTGCTTACAGTGTGTGTTTTCCTAGGCAGAAAATACTGGGCAGTCATCACTTTTCACAGCTTGCAGAGAAAGGCAACAACAGGATCCAGTGGTTGAAAGCTGGAGCCAGCCAAATTCGATTAGAAATTAGGCTCAGCTTTGTAAAGATGCCTGCTTAGTAAACACATGAACAAGGAGAGACTGTTCCACAAAGCAGGACTTTGCGAGAGACAGGCTTGAGCCAAATGAGACATTTCACTCAACTTTGAATAAAATAAATGCAAGTTAGTGATTTCGAAGAGGAGGAATTAAATTGTCAAACAACAACTTTTAAAATAAACAAAAAATCAAGCTCTTAGGTCTACTTTGCTCAATTCATGGACATCTGTCTGAACTAGAAGAACAAGGAGAGACATTTTCAGTCTCTTTTCCTAACAAAAGAGTCACAAATATCTGAGAGAGAAATAGCCAAGAATGACATGCTAGGAGGACAAAATGAAAATCTTACATCTCTTGCTCCTTCCTACTGGTAAGTAACTATGGAACCTTCCTGTTTGGATGTCTGGGGGAAGAAAATGAAAGAGCACCTTTAATTATATTGGCCATTGTATTGATGCATTTGCATTAAGCGCTCAGCTCCATTGGTGATGAGCATAGCATCATTATTAACATTAGCATCCAGAAGGGGCAGCCTTGCAGGATTAGATGAAAGGAGAGAGGTAGAAGGGTACTGGTGTGAGAAGGGACAGCAGATCCTGATGCAGGAAGTCAGGAGTGGCACAAAGCCACTTGGGTGTAGCTGAGGGGAAATGGGCAGGAGGCAGAATGCAGAGCTGCAGTGGCAGCCCCTGGAATTAGGCAACGTAGGATAGAAGGAGGCTGAAAGCATGCAGGAAATTGAAGGGAAGCAGGAAAGATGTGCAGATGCACCTCTGAGTAATAACACAAGCTCATCGACTGTTCCAGAGAAGCAAAACTATTACCTGCAGAGAGCTTACCCCTGCTTTGCCCTCAACTGCAAAATCTGTTTACACTACTGGCCTCCCACTGCCTGATACAGTCATTGCTGTAAAAGCAGTATGTCCTGCTGTGAAGAAACCAAACTGCATGGAAAAGTTTGCTCTTGGATCTCAGCAGCTATTGCTACAGTGCTCTCAACACCATGGGGCAAAAATTGAACCACCAGGAAAAATTGAACAATCCAGCACAGCAAGTGAAAAGCTTTTCAGTGTTCTTAGAGGCTTATTAAGATGCAGAGACAAAACATTTATGCAACCCATGGGTTTGGGCTTTCTTGACCTACCGTGGCATGGCTTTTGGGGATTAAAATAAAAGAAGTGGAATTTCAGGCAATGCTGGAGGTGAGAATGGGTCCCCTGTACACTTGAGATATATAGAAGCTAAATAGCTACCAAAAGACAATTACAGGCTTAAGTAAACTCATGTGATAAGCACAAATATTCCTGTTTAAATTAACATGTGTTTATTAACCTTATTTAGGAGGTTACTGGCATTCTTAGAAGAGTTAATTGATAATTCTTATTTATATGTTATTTTAACTGAGGCAGAGGGGATGAACAGAAAGGGGAGGACAGAAAGGAGGACAAAACAGTCCTACAAATTCACTCACAGCTCCTTGTTAACACTAACAAGCTCAGAAATTATCTAAACGCCTGCTGATGTGTTCTCTTTCAGAGAGAATTATAACACACAAGTGCTAGTCTACAGCAGCTTTTGAACACTTGATTCTAGGCAGCTTATGGTGGGCGATAGAAGTGGTTTGTTTCCTTAATATCTTTCTGTAACAAGATGCTATTTTGTTAATTGCAGAGCATGAAGGTAATTATACTGTGGAATCTTGGGTGACCATGGAAACATGAGGGTGCTCATTTTGCCCAGTGTGGAGTTACACAAATGGATGGTCAGCCATGGCTTGTGTTTCCATTTTGCTGAGTACCAGCAATTACAATCCTGATTAATAGGAGCTACAAGTACAGATAAGAACCCACTTGGTCTTTAAAAGAAACAAAGTTTACTAAATGTAGTTAGACAAGTCCTACAACACAGATTAATTGCTGATCGCTGCTTTTCTTCTGTAGATACATCACTGCCCTCACAGTTTGGAGCATCCAGTCAGTGCTTCGCTATGATGGACACACTGACTGTTTTTGATGTTTGCTTTTTGAAAAACAGTTTCTGCTTTTCTTCTGCTGCCAGATGCAAGCCTGCAGCCACAGTAGGTGAGTAGGTTGTACTACTGCCAGCCCCTGTAGCTCTAAGGTGGCTGTTATGGGGGTGAGTTACACAGCAGTTCCTTGCTGTCCTTTCTTTTGTAAGCTCCCATGGTGAATGGCAAGCAGCAGAGAGGACTGTGCTTTGGATAAGCTTTCCAGCTCTGGGGAGGAAGGCTGTTATTAGCACAGAGTTGATAGATGTTCTAACAATTGTTTGAATCCAAGTGAGGGGCTGGCATCTTGCCAGGAGGACAGATTTGTTGGAAATGAAGGGTACAGAGAGCCAGGTATCCACTTCCCAACTCTGTGCTTTGTCAGGGAGTGGTTGCTGTGGATTTGTGTGAGCCACAGCAGGGACAGCACACACAGATCCTGCTCCAATGGATAATACAATTCCCCAGTCACTGGGCAAAGCTGGATGTTAGATTTGGGAGTAATCTCTGTGCCTCTGTTTTGTTATTACTGATGTAAACAATCACAGAGTACTGCAGAAGAGCAGAGCAGACAGCCTTGGTGCTGAGCAGCCCCTTCCTGGGGGAGGCACACCACTGCCTGCAGCCAGTGCTGGGTCCCCAGCCCAGAGCACCCAAACAGGCACCTACCTATGACTGACTGCAAGATCCACAACCCACTTTGATGAGTGCCAACAAAAATATCCACGATCAATTTAATTCTTCATTCAGCTCTGATAATTGGTTACAGCAAGTGATAGTTGGGTGCTGAATTAATTTTTGCCCTCTCAAGTTCTGTACTTTGAAATATGTCAAAAGACATGTTGCTATTTGCTGCAGTTTGGAGTGATCCAGGAAATACCAGCTTCTGTTGCTGCTTTTCAACTCCTAAACTTCAATGGCTAATTCAAGCTTTAAAAACTCAAAGACTAACAGATGTGTAAGGAACCTTTTTGAAGAAAAAAATCAATCGAAAAAAATCAATCAGAAATTATTTGAAGTCTATCATTTGAAGTCTGTTGGAAAGAATTTCAAGTCGATAAAACACAAATTCACTTTTGTTGTCAGTATTTACAGCAAAAACACTCCAGGACAGAGAGACCCAAACTGAAAAATGTTATTTATAAAAATGAAACCAGATTCCACTGGAGGGGAATGAAAACTAAATAGCAGGATTTAAAGGGAAAACAGGTAGGTTTTGGTGATAGATAGCCACCATGACTTCCAGGTGCTGGGCAGAGCACTTGGTACCACCAGCATCTTTCCCCGTCCATGAAACAGAAGAAAGGTAGTGCAAATCCCTTGTTGGCCTCTGCTTCTATTTCCAGACTAGCTCTTCTGCTTTAGATTCACATTATTAATGGGCTATCTGGGGCACAGACATCCAGAAATGAAGCTTTGCAATACCCAGAAGGCCACAAGCGCTGCCAGGAGTCAGCACCTGATTTAGAGTCATGGTGACAAGGCTCAGTTTGAGATTCAGAGGTGATGTCCCCTGTCAGAGGCAGAGACATCTCTGTCTCAGGGTAGCTTTGTGCTGAGTGGACCAAGCCACTTCTAGGCTGGTCCCAAAGAGATGTGAAGGTCAGAATGAAGATGTACAAGGTCACGTGAAGACACACCAAATAACAAAAAAATGTCCTTCTTGTGCCAACAGCGATCTTGCTGCTGTGTTGCAGGCTAGTGAGGTTTATCTGAGGCTCATGCATTTATCTTTTTTCTTTGGAAAATAAAGCAGATCCATTAATTCCCCAACATCCAAGGTAAATAAATCCTCTTTTTTTTTTTTTTTTTAAACACAGTGACTCAAGTGAAAACAGGCTGTGGTTTTCTTGATTTCTCTGGCCACTGCCAGACACAAGAAAAGTGCCACACACATATTGCTGAATTTGGTTTTGCCTCACTGGATTTTTATGGATGGTTACCCTCAAAAAACAAACTATTAATAGGCCTGTGTCTGAACACTTGACCACGTGAGACTTCATCTGTTACATTCAAGCTGTGTTTTGATAGATTGTTATTCCATTAACTAAAAATCCTTTGGGCTATGAAGGATATAAAGCAGTCCTACAACTACTCGCCCTAAAACTAATATTTAAATGTCACAGGGAAAAACTGAGAAGTCCATTAGAGGAATAGGAAAGGAATTACATCATACACAAAGAGAATGAAATAGATACGAATTCTAGCAGTAAAAACCAATGTAAAACAAAAGTCTTTTGAGCTGTGATTTGTTTAAGTGATGCTGACAATACTACAAATCATTTAAATAGATTTTGTAACACTGATGTTGTTACAGAGATTAAATTACACTAAGATAATAATGAAGTGTTGGGGTAATTTACATAAAGAAAAAGCTATGCTCCTAAAATTTCAGTTTTCTGCATATTCTTCTTAATGGGAACAAATTTCAAAAGTATTTTGATTTTAGAAGCAATTTGTAAAGCTGTTCAGTGACCATAGCTCCTGCTCTAAATTTCCAGGCAAAAATCAGCCAGTAACTTTTATTTTCACTCATGCACATAAACAAAAATTCTTGCTTAATCTCTTCTGCCTTTTCTGGTTTATAGGGCAGAATAAACCAATTTAAATGAAGAGATTTGTGATTTTAATTAACAAGCAAGAAATTTTGGTTTGAATATGAGTTTTTAACTTGCATTACACATCTTTAAAATTTGATTTGAAGAAAATTTAGCATTGTTGGAAACTTTGTGATGCAAATTTCCACCTAAATATAATCTTGATACTGAATGTGTATTTTTTTCCCTACCTATGTGCTCATGCATATTTGTGTATACAGATCTTGCTTGGGGTACATGTATTCATGTTCAAATTTTTTTTTTTACTCTGAAAATATTTAAAACCAAAGAAATCATTAATCAGAATATCTAAGTAAAAGGCAGAGAGAAGTATAAATCTTAAAGTGCTTCTTCAAAAAAACAAACCTTCTCATAAATGATAATTACATACATATATTTTAAAAGCAATGCTTTTTTTCCTCAAAATCCTGGTTTAATTCTGCCCTTTATGTTTTTTGCCTATGAACAAAGCTAAGACCATCTGCAAAATTCATCAGCATGGGAAGTAACATTGCATGGGTTCAAGTGATTCAAAAACATAAGGAAATAGCCAGACCTGGTCTTGGCCCTTCAGCAAAGGGAAGTCTCTGGCAGCTCTGATTTCTGCAGATTGAGCAGGGTCCTGCTGGCAGCTGGGTATGGTGCACTCAGCAAAGCACTCCCCTTCCTGGCTCTATGCTGGAGGTAAATCACAATCAGCTCTGGCATCAGAGCCTTGCTCTGCTTGGCAACCAGAGGGTGGTGTTCAAAGCCCAGCAGGTCTCCAGGACAAAATACCTGCTGGGCCCTTCCCCACTGACATGGGCTGCTCTGATATCTTCCACTGAGATAGGCTTCCCTTTGGTGCAATCCAGCATTTACTGTGGGATTTGTGAGAGGAACCTGGAGTGACATTTAAAGGCTGCCACTTTCACCCACTCCTTGTAAGCACCATGTGAAAGCAGAGCCTTCAGATTTGCAGGTTTTTAACCTATAAACAAAGCAAGGATCTGTTCCCTCTCTCCCCCACAGCTGCCATCAGAATAATAAGCCCCACAGAATTAGTAAATCAAAGGTTTCGCTCTGAATGCATTACAGCTGTGGAAAATACAAACTTCAGCTTTTGGGGCTGATGACTTCAGCTCTATCCAAAATAATTGCCCCTGTAATTCACAATCAAGACTGCATCTAAACACCAACTTCAGCATGAAACATCCCAAAAGCTGAAACCTGAGGTTAGATGACATAGAAATATGAGTTGGTGAATATCTGAATGTTCTTAGTGTGCACTCAAAGAGCCAGGTGGGCAGAGTGTGCAGGAGTCAGTAGTACAGCACAAGTTGGGCAGGAAGTGACAAGGCCTCCTGTTCTCTCCTTTCAGCATCCTTAAATGCCCTAGGATGTTCCTGCCTGTCAAAGATTTCTCCTCTTGTTGTAGCTGGAATGGTTATGAGATGGTCTCCTGAAGCTCCCTTCACCACTGTTCTCTGCTCCAACATGTCCTGGGCAGTTTCAGCTGAGGGCAGAGGTGCAGCCATGGGCAGCAGCGAGGCAGGATGCAGTGCTCCATGGAGGGAGGGGCACCAATGCATGGGGCTGAGCTGAGCGGGCTGGGAGCACAGCAAAAGCCTGCAGGCAGCTGCAGCAAAGGGCTGCTCAGGACCCTGGGGATGCAGAAAGTACTGGTACAGACACAATTTCAACATAAAAGTGGGTTTCAGCACTCTGCTGCTCCTGGAGGAGGTACCTGTCTTCTTAATGAGCCTGTTCCCGTATCAGAAATTTGTTTCTTTTAAAACTCACATTTAGTGCAAGGAGAGTATTTCTGTCAGAGGTTCAGTTGCACTTGGTTGAAGACGCTGCTACGACACTTGGCCAGCTTGGCATTTAAAATGTCTTTTAGACCAGAAAGCAAATGAACCTGAATACTGAGGCAGATGTAATGAGAAAAGGTGAACTCCTGTAACCAAATGAGGTTGCTGATAAAAAGACTGAATTGCAGAAGCATTTGCAGAAATCCCAGTGGAAGACCACTGATTCTTCTGCGTATGCTTTATTTCCTGTATGTGCCTTGTGCAACCTACCCTGGAGGAGCAATGCAACAAGAGATGTCACTGAAATTTTGCATTTAAAATCCAGAATTTCTGGTCCCTGCTGGTTAAATTAGGATGAGCAGGTTTCTGTCCTCTTCAGAAATGTGATTGATGGTATTTTCGAAACCAAGCTACTGAGTCCTAGACTTTCTTCAGCTCAGCAGGCCAGGAGGACATGCTCATTTTTCTCTCTGTGTAGCATTGCTGCACACAAAGTTGTTCAAAACTGTTTGCTACCTCAATGCTTCTGTTCCAGGAGGCAAAAGAACAAACAGGCTGAGATCTCTTCTTTCGGCATGGAATGTGTAGGAAGAGTTACTGCCTATCCCTAAGTACAGAATCTCATTCCCAAATGTACCTCCTGATGTGTGTTTAGGATGCAATCCAAATATCCACAGAACAAAGAAGGAAGAAGAATGAAATTGGTAGAAAATGCATTAAAGTGAAATAGAGACAAAAAAAATTATAGTTAACTGCTCTACCTTTGTTTGAGCCCATAGGACTTGTATAGATGAGTGTTAGTGATGGAGCTCTCCACTGGCACTGGGGCAAACTTTGTTCTTAAGGTGAAATAATCTATCAAGATAAAAATGTTAAACAAGTCCTTTTCATTTACTCTGCTCAGTACGTCTCAAATTGCTTTTCAGCTGTGCCCAGTGCTTTTTCTGTCTTAAATCAAACATCCTTTTCTAATTAGGTAAGTTAGAAGATGTTGGTGCTACTTCCTACTAATTTAAGGACTACAACTAATTTAAAGAAATTAAAACTAAAACCCCCACCTTTAAAGAATTAATTAATCCAGAACTTGATTTAATAAGGAAGGAAGCAACTGAGGGTTAAGTAACCCAGTCAGGTGGGCATTGCAAAGGAAAATCAGCCACTGTAGAATCACTGGTACAGCCACTCTGGGGGTTATTGGGGAATAAAGGCTTTTTCTTCTTGATAGGCAATTACAAGTATGCAATACATCCAGCCCCCTTTTCAGTCATCTTTAACAACCATTTCTGTAAGTCATTATACTGAGTGTAATTGTCAAGGTGCTGGCAGCAGGGTCTACAGGAGCCTCTGCGGGGAGAGGCCAGGGCTGCCCTGTGCTGGATGCAGCCAACACATCACAGCTCAGTCGGCTGCCCAACAGGGGCACTTCTGGGGAAGAGGATTTGAGGTGGGGAAAAAAATATTGCACAGGCAGAGGATGAGGGGGAAGAAGTGGGCAGCAGTCACCTGAACACCAAGTGGAAAGCAGGAGGAGGGTGAGGAGGTGCTGCAGCTGTCAGAGCTGAGATTCCTGGCAGCCCCAGGAGGAATCCACACCAGCAAGCAGGCAATTCCCAACAGGAACCTCTGCCTGTGGAAAACCCATACTGGGTTTATCTGAAAGGACTGAAGCTCATGAAGAGGACCCAGGCCAAAGCAGGGGGCGGGAACAGCAGAGCCCACAACAGCTGTTATGGACTGACCACCATCCCCTGAGGAGGAGGCAGAGCAGTCAGGAGTGAAGACATGAAGTAGTGGGAAGGGAGGGTGGTGTTTTACAGTTTTTGACTTTGTTTCTCATTATGCAATTTTAATTAATGCAATAAATGAATCTGTTTTGCTCTTGATGGTAATTGGCATGCACTCTTCCCATCTTTCTCAATCCATGAAGTTTCTCTTCCCCAACCAGCTGAGATGCTGGAATGAATGAAAGGCTAGGTGGGCACACCCCCCCCATCAGCTGTCCACAGAGTAAGGCATCAGGTACAGGAAGCCTTGTGGAGAGGGCAAGCTTTGCTAAAATACATAAGCAGACTGGAATAAAAGTCAACCATTAGCAAGATACAGAAAAAAACCACAGCCCCAGCCAACTCTCTTTCAAACACAAACTTGTCAGCTTCACATTTTTGAAACTGGGTTGTGGCAGATTTTACTTCTCTACCTCCTAAAAATGTGTGCAATATTGAACTTCCAAAGACCTTCAAAAATCCTGCCACAAGAGAGCAAACAGTCCATCTCAAATCCTTATGAGAACATCCTGTAATGAACATGCACAGCAAAAGAGATTTTGGTGACAGAGGGCCCTCTTCTTATGGCTGAATTCCTTTATGGATGAGATGTCATTTGATTAATGTAGCCTTACAAGTTTTATATTATGTTTCATCCCATACTGGAATACAGCAATGCTTTTTGCATACTCATGCATATACTTATGAACACCTTATGAATGAAAACTATAATCCTGACTGGTTAACTATTCTAACTTGTCTTATAAAAATTTAAAGAGATGGCTTCCCAAAATAGTATGTGAAGAGTGCATTATTTCCCATGCAGAGACAGTAAAAGGATAATGTTAAAGATGAGAAATCTGTATTTCACATGTATATTTGTATTCTGCTGGACAGCACAAATATGAAGAGTAACTATCACAGGAATGGTTATCATGCTAAAATGTTGGAGAGCTGCTTATGTAAAGACAGGACATTGACAATATGAGAAAAAGCACAATATCTTGATGAGATTAAGACTTGTCATGTATTCTGTCCTATTCCCAAAATCTTCTCACTTGTTTCTCTGCCCCCAATTCAATAAACTAAACTATAAATGCTATAGGAGGCTTTTATTCTGAACAAAACCAGTGAAAATACAATTTACACTGAAAGCCCAAGCTGAGACAAATCATGTCGCTGTTATTAGTTGCAGGTTGTTTTAGGTGGGATCCACTCGTGTATCTTCTTGCGAGTAGTAGAGTAAGGCACGTACTGCTCAGGAGTGCCACTCACATTGAATTTATGGTTCTCCCAGATAAATTTACGGGGAACTGGTGGATGAGTAGTTGGAGGGTCATCCGTCATTGCGTGCAGCCAGCGATGCCTTAAGAGGAAAAAGACATATGGTTATTAAGGAACATCACAGGATGTCTATCAAACCTAACTCCTGACTCCCAAGGGTTCTCCTCTAAAGAGACACTAAGTATTTATTCTGAAAAGGGAAAAAAGTAATTTTAATCCAGTGTGACTCTGAATGAGATTACAGGAAATTGATTTTAATTAGTTTCACAAGCATAACTGATAAGTAACAGTTCTGCCTCCAAGCAATTGGAAGCAGACCTTAAGTTCAACTTTCCTGTTCCTTTGTGCGCTCAGTATTTGGACAGAGCACGCTGTCACTTGCTCGTACAGCCTTCACCAGGCAGCCAGGTTAAGGCAGGCACTACAAATGACAAAACCATGAGGTTTGGTTTTGTTGCCTGGGCTTTTTCTTTGTTAGGTTATGGAGATTTGTTTTGTTTTTAATTACCAGAAAATTACGCTTCACAACAATTTCAAAGCCATTTTCAAGGCATACATGAAGCTGCCACTTGGGATACAGATTAAGGACGTAAGTAAACCGAAAACAAGCACATAAATATTTACTGACTGCACAACACAATGATTAATACCAATCAGTAATAAGGTAATTACCAAGTGATTCCAGTGATTTGATTAGCCTTTACCTATGAACTAAATGTCAATCTTTCTCTGTGCAAGCAACATTAATGATCAAGCAAAGCATTTTCCCTAACAATTTACTGAAACACGGCAGCAGGGACCAACTGAATTGATTTCATCCCTTTCCTACTTCAGTGCCTGAAGCAACTTTCAAATATGAATTACATTTTAATTATCTGTCAGTTTACGTGTACTTCATACTGTGGGTAGTTATAACAAAAGTGAGGTTATGACATTTTTTGCAAGCTTATGCATTTTTTACTGAGGCAGAGTTAGGGAGACTTCTGCTAATCAGCTTTTGCAAACACTTGACCTAAAAATATGAAGTCATCTTTTCTAGTTCTGTTAGAAAACCTAAAAATTGCATTTTCAGCCCTTAGCAACAAATCCAGCACACTTCATTTATACAGCAAAACAAAACTATGATAAAAGTGGTGAGAAATAGACTGACAAGTACATTCTAGATCCAAAGAGCTCTACAGAAGGTCGGTAATTTTTTCAAATTGCTTCTTGACATGTATTTATAAAAAAAAAATCACAACTTTGGCTATAACTTTAGTACAAAAATGTCACTTTAAAAAAAGTGTCAGCCTAAAGTTCTTTTTCTAGAAGTAAAAAAATGCACAAAACCCCCAAACTAAAGCCACACGTTGTAGGACTAAGGTCCACCAGGAAACTGGCTTGAATATAAAATCAGATGGAACCATAAGATTATTTGAAAGTAAGAAGGAAAAAAACCTGTGTTTAGTGGCAAAGAGCAGCTTCCAGAGGGAAAAAATTATCCACTTTGGAGTTTGGAAGTTATACACATGTATAATGCTCTTCCTCTCTCTGCCCTCCTTCGTAAATCTGGTCTCATTCAATGTACATTTTGCACTGCTTTTATGAAAAAAAAAAAAAAAAAAAAGATAAATGGCTAACAATTTCTGTCTGGAAAAAGATGGCCCTATAGCACTACTAATCACAATGTGGTCTGATGATAGAGGATCAGGTCTTGCTCAATTTTAACCCTGGTGTTTTAAACCAGTCTCTGAAATGCCCTGGCCACACCACACAAAGCTCTCACCTTAGGCGAACTCTCTTGCCTGATTCTCACCTGTCAGAAGAATTTTGTGTACTTGTTCTTCACACCCCCTCAGGTATCACGTGTCCTATGACAGACTGCATCAAGGTTGGCAGAAATACTGCAAAAAAGCTTACTTGACAGAGAATGGATCCTGTGCTCACACCCAGCAAGCTCTCCATTGCTAAGACAAACACTGAGTTTGTGGCATTGGAGAAAGGGCAAAAGAACAGTCTATTCTGCTAATACTGAATTTCAAAATGCTTTGCAGTATCACTCCAGAGGAGCCCCAGATTTTCAAAACTGCTCTCTGTAACATATTATGCTGGCTTTAGGCAGAGTAGAGTTAATTTTCATTTTGGAAGTAAAAATTAAGGCTCTTAATTTGCAATTAATTAATTAATTAATTTGCAATGTGCAAGGGATAGTAATAATGTGAATTTAACTCTTATGTGACTGTGCTGCTTTGGGCTGGGGTAATTTTCCTCACAGTGGCTTGTATGAGGCTGTGTTTTCGATTTGTGCTGAACACAGGGTTGATAATAAGAGATGTTTCTGTTATTGCTGAGCAGAGCTTACACAGAGCCAAGGCCTTTTCTGCTCTTTGTACTACCATGCTGTCAGGGAAACTAGGGGTGTATGGGACATTGGGAGGAGAAAGCCAGGACAGGTGACCCCAACTGACCAAAGGAATGCTCTGTACATGGCATCATGCTCAGTATATAAAGTATATAAAGTAGCGGGAAGAAGGAGGTAGAAGGGGATGTTTGTGCTGATGATATTTTTATTTATCTTCCCAAGTCATCATTATGTGTGATGGAGCTCTGCTCTCCTGGAGATGACTGAACATCTGCCTGTCCATGGGAAGCAGTGAATGAATTCTTGTTTTGCTTTGCCTGTGTGCAGCTTCTGCTTTCCCTATTGAACTGTGCTTATCTCAACCTGTAAGTTTTCCAGCCTTTTCCCTTCTGACTCTCTCCCCACTCCCACTGGAGAGAGAGAGAACAAGCGGCTGCCTGGGGCTCGGTGCTTGGCTGGGGCTAAAGCATGACACAGGCAACTTACAACACACACACGTTCACCTAGTGATGCTTCTGCTAACAGTGGATAAGGATCCTCCACACAAATCCCTACTTAGGCACCTCACCATCTTCATGCTCCCCAAGAGTCACACACACCAGTTACAAAGGGCCTGAAAGACAGACTGGAGCAAGCACAGCACTAGAACTATAATAATGCTCAGCTAAAATCAACTTTATTCCAAGCTTGTGTGATGTCTGGCACTTCTGTCATTACAAGTGCACTTGTCACACATTCTTTCCTTGAAACATCAGAAAAGTTTCATAATAGGATTTAACAGAGTGGCTTTACCTGTCATTTAAACTATCGCTTTGCAGATTTTTAAGACTAAATCCATGAAATCTTTTAAAATAGAGCATTTTTGAGTAATTAATATCTTTGTGTTTAAGATTTTCAGGATTTCCAGAACATCAACATGAAACCAGGCTCAAATTTAAATAGATCAGCAAAACCAATCCTTGAATCACATTTTCTCACTGGAAAGTAAAAATAAAATTCCTCACTGACAGACATGCCAGTACAGTCACAAGTATTGAAAAACATGAAGAGATTTCAAAATTAATCCACTATGAATTATGCTTATATTTAAGAGTTTCAGGGCTTAACCTGGTCACAAAGGATTCCCCTTAGAAACACATGTGACTTACAAAAGCATTTTGGTTTGCAGAGTCAGTTCTCTAAAACAAAAGCTCCCACTTTCCTCTAAAAATCTTGAAAACTTTGTTTTGGGAAGACTTTCCCCTTGACACCTGCCTCAAAGCATTGTTTGAAGTTCTGATGTCTCAGACTCTACCCCCAGATGCTCAAGAAAAGCTATTCATGCACTAGATTGAACAGCATGAATAAAGAGATATGACATCCTGCAGATGGCTAGATTTCTATACAAACTCTGACTATAAATCCATTGTGGGGAAAAAAAAATATTCTAAAGCAATTAATGACTGAAAACCTACAAAGAAGCAGACAACTTGCACAGAACACAGAAAAATCAGGAGGATGCAAGCAGCTCTGAAGAAGCTGAAGCAGCTTCCTGAATCAGTGAGCAGTCACTAGGAAGCAGACTGAGGCCAGCAAAGCCTCTGCACTTTTTCTTGCATAAATGGATAAAAGACACCTCAAAGTATCTTCAAAAGCTCTCAAGACTATGTAGATTTTTTTCGAAGTTCTAACAAATATTTAAAAGCAAGTAGATTTTAAACTGAAGCTACAAGGGACTGGAGCCAATTATATGATGTACAAGCTGTCAAACAAGAACTGATGCTACACAAACTCAGCAGCCACTACCATATGTGCATCTGCAAGGTTCAGGCACAGCCTGCGTCAGCTCACGATGTTTGCCAACTTGCTAACATCCACTTTTTGCCACAAGTTAACCATGCTGCAATGAGACAAGAGAAATGAATATGTGGGTTCAGGTCATAGGGCAGAGAACAAAAAAGGGACAACAAATGTGCTCGTTTACACATGGGAGATAACTTTAATTTATCAGGCAAACTACTACACCATAGCAATGAGATGGAAAACATCAAATTAGCATTTAATCAAAATTTACTGTGAAGCTACTAGAAGGATGGAAATTTTCCCAATCCCCTTCCTTTTCTGTTCAATCTTTCTGTTTTGTTTTCCTTGAAGGCAAACTTGAAAAGCAGCACTTTTTACAAGAGAACTGCACATTTCCTTACATTTTCTAGTGGGTTGGCAAGTGTGAGGTGCTACATTCCTCCCTGTCAGACCAACTAAAGAGGATGCAGACTATTAAACTGAAGGTAAATTTGCAATACTTCACTATATGAAGTAAACACTCCTGGAGCTTCTTCCAAAGATGTCAGATATCCACCATAAGGAAATAAACCTCAAAGTACAGAACAGACACCACAAATACACAGGACAGTGCTGGCAAAATGAAGTGTCTCTACAAAAGGAAAAACTATTCTCAAATTACAGCTCTTCTTTCCCCACAGGATCATACTAAAAGAGCAATTTATTTTTAACTAGTGTGTACATTTACACCAGTTGTCAATTTGTTTGTTCAAAGCATTTGGCCAAAATGCAAACCGAAGTACATGACACCAGAAATACACTAAACAAATAGCTTAAACACAAAGGCCAAGGATTAGTGATGCTGCAATGGAGACATCCATGAAAGCACTAAACAGAGTCCCCACAGGCACGGCTATAAACGGATTTAACTTCTATTGTTTATATGTTCACAGAGCACACAGATCACTGTGCTCAAAAATGGAAGCAGCACTGAGTTCCTGCAAACAACACTGGCTAGTAAGAAACAAAACAAGTATTTGGTTTCTCTCACTGCCTAGAAGTGAAAAAGATGAATTTGGGTAAGGAAAAACGTTGTGCCAAATACCTTGTAAAGCATTACAAGAATATTAATATTCATCATTCCCAAGGCAAGTATTAAAGAAATTTTTTTAAAATCTAATTACGTTGTCGCCAACAAAGTAGATACCAACATCTGGATTTTGGATACCAAAAGAAAGAAAACCCAGAGTGAAAATTAAGTTAAATAACAACTAAATCAGAATAAACCACAAGCCTACATATTCTAGTCTGGAAACATTTTTAAAAAGCAACAGTCTCGATTCCCTGGAGAGTAGACATATGTCAAAACAACACTTTGATTTCCTTTAGACTGTACAATTTCAGTACATCCGTTGTCAAAAGACATTACATCAATTATTTCAGAATACTGAAAATACTCAGTAGCTCCTAAAATGGTATTACAATATGTTATTACATATGAGGTGTTTTTTCTTGCTGCTTTTTCTTTTTCTCTAGTATCTAAGAGAAGGTAAAGGGTAGCATTTTTTTTCCAGTTGTTTCCAGAACTCTTCAACATACCAAAATGCTTTTTTCCAGTTCATCATACATGAGCTTCACTTGATTGTACTTGAACAATCATTCATATTCTACAATCCTGAAGGCACACAACTTACTGCAAGAAGAGGATACAACAACATACTCACAAAACTGGGCTGGACTGAGCAAAATTAACTGAATTCCAGAGTAAAATCAGTGTTGAGAAGAAGCATTCAGACCACACCCACCTCTAACAGCAGTACTCTAAATACTTCTTTGGTACTTAGTTGATGACCCAAGGATGACAAACATGTATCATACTATTATCATATGGATTAATTACTCTTTTTGTTAATATCAGTAATTTCACACAGTTTAATTTATTTCCAACAAATTTATGGGTCCAAAATAACCACCTGTTGCACAACTCTAGTGTTACACTGACAGCAGCTTGTACAAAATATTGTCAGTCTCAATTCAGAAGTCTATGCCATGTTAAAAATTTAAGGCAGAAGAGCACCAAATTCAAATTTTTAAAAAGTTTTAAAAGGCAGCATTTATTCCCACTCAAAATATTTATATTTTTTAAGATGTCTCTAAGCTGTATGGAAATACACATCAGTGATTTAGATGTGTCACAAAGCTAGGATTCCTGTGTAAGAATAAACATTATCATGGGACATACAAATTTATCAGCAAGAAACACCACCCTCCACCTTATCCCCCCTTCCCAAAAAAAGCCCCAAATCCACAAACCTGACTGGTACTGCACAACTAAGTTTCCTGACAAAAATACCTTAAACACTGTTTACTCTTTTTTGCCTCATTACACTCACCAGTCTTGAAAATAACGAAATCTTTACTGCTTCTTTTAAAAGAATTTTTTCCACATTGATAGGAAAACAAGTTTTTCTACCTCATTAATTCCTGTGAAGTAAACAAGCTACTTAACCCTTGAAACATCACTTTGATTCTCAAAAAGAAACCCTTTATTGAGGTTTGTAAAGAGGCAACAAATAGCCCATAAACACAGGCAAAAGAAAAAACAAAATAAAAGCCAAAACCTTTGTGAAACAAAACCTATGTCTCAAAATAAAGAAAAACTTAAAACCTAGCACAGTCTATTAGTGGATAACAACCAGAACCAAACAACAGTTATGCAGAGAGCAAGGCATGAACATCCTGGTGCTGGAGATTCTAATGTCACTTCAAAAAACAATGCCATTCAGTTCTTACCAAATAAGACAGAAAAAAGCATTAACCACATTAAACATAATGTAAGGCTGGGAGAGCTTGAAACAAAATTGACCACCTAGAGAGTTTACCCACACATTCCTCAAATGTTCCAGTGAGAGCCACAATTTAGAAGATTTTATAATCAATCCCAGCCTTGGCATAGAATATCTCTCACAGGAGTAATAAAACACAGTGTTTGCTCAGTCTACCCAAACACTTCTCTCTTGATGTCACCTTTTGCTGCTTTGTGGCTGAAGTGCTATTCCTGTTCCTTAAGAATTGCATAGAGATTGTTTTTACAAGTATACACTGTTAGTTTATGTGGTGTGAGTTTTCTAGGAAAACAAAGAAAGGGTCAACAGCTGTGGCCAGAGACCTTCTGGAATATAAGGCTGTACAGAATTATTACTGAAATGCATGAACAGAAAATAAAACCTCAATAAAAATTATAGTCAAGTAGCAGTCAACATATGGAGCATTCTGGTACTTCAATGTTTACTACCACATCAATGTATATAAATTGAAACAATTATGCTGTTAGTGGCTGTGGGTTAAGGAATGTTGTTCCACCACTGCCATATGTTCCTTAGGTTCTTGCTTACGATGGCAATAACAAATATTTTACTTCTGGTGGCCCGAGGCTTTGCCAAACCATTAACAGAGTAATAAAGAAAATTAGAAGACTGTCTTGACCTGCTCAGTCTGGCTGGCAGAATGCTCTTCTCAATTCAAAAAGCAGTGAGTGCCTCAGCCAGGAGAGCAAGCAATAGACATGAATGCAGTTCAACATTAGAAGTGGCGAGTCTGAAACCTTCTGGTCACAGACGAGACAGCTACAACCATGAAAACTTTTTTTTTAAATCTTCTGCTTTGTAATATGAGAAAATATAAAGCAATTACACAATTGCTATCTGTCCACATTATCAAGCTAAACAATTTACCATTCAGGGGGCACCATGCTTCCATCAACTTCCCAAAAGGTATTTTTGCCATTCATTTCTTTGGTATATACAACCCATCTGTGCCGACCTTAAGTAAATAAACAGAAACATCATATTAGCTATAAAAATTAAATTATTTTCTTATAAAGGAGAGAATTCAGGAAAACCAAGGAAAAACATTTTTAGTGATAGTATCTACCATAATGGGCACCTATTTTTAAGCCAGCAGAGTTTTATTTTTTCAAGTCTTCTGTGTTTCCATTATTACTTTAGTTTTAGATGACTGAATCTAATGCTCTCACAAGGTAGCAAATATTGGCTATTGTATAAAAAATGGGAAACAGTAACTTATAAAATTTTCAGGCAGAGAAAGAGGTTTGGGTTTTTTTCCTCCAGTATGAGGAGTCTTTTCCAAAGGGACATTGCCACTGATAACATAAGACTAAACTAAATTTCAGCTACACAAAACTACCAAGCAAAGTTAATCAGCAGGTGCTTTCCCTGGTTACACTCCGAGTTAACCTGCAGTTAGCTTGGCCTGACCAGTGTGTCAATTGCTTATGTGTCACTTGTGTTGCTTTAGGTTTAGGTGCTGCCTTTTTAAGTAGTTGAGAAGCTTGATTTAAAATCTATTACTTAAGATAAGTAATAGTAAGTTTAAGCCAACCTGTGCTCTTTGCCCTGAAGTGATCATGTAAGTGAGTAAAGCTGTGAGGCAGTTTTAAACGTAGTTCTTCTTTCCCCACCTGTTAAACTACCAGCCTTTAGGTCAAGGACCAAAATCAACTCTCAATCACATTATCATATCAATTACCTACACAGAGACCATATGACTGGCTTATATTTATTCCACATTCACTGTTTCAGATTGACTGTGTTTGCAAAGGAATTGAGGGATAAAACAGAGAAAAAGAAGCTGTCAAAGCATTTCTATAAGTCTAAGACTCACACAAGACAAGTGCAGGGAAGTCAGGCAGGCAACAAGTTGTATTTCACTAGCAGAAAGCACATAAGCTATGTGGGAGTGACACAGTTGGTTGGGAGGTGTTCACATTAGCACACATACCAAAGAAGTTTCTTTTGTCTTCGTAGTATTTGTTTCCATATTTGTCAGTTCCTACCAGATTACCAGTCTTCAAATCATTGACCCTGCGAATTATCAAAACAGCAGTTTCAGTTGATGTTCTCTCAGAACGAAATTGTGACAGAGGTTCCTTAAGGGTTAGTAAAAGTCTGTGTAAATGTATGCAAAGGTAGTTTTAAAAAAAAACTATTCAAGCTTATGGATTGCAAAACAATCTCCAATTCCTGCAACTAATGTGCATCTCACTGACAGGATGATAAAATCCACACAAAAAAGCTTTCAGGGAGTCCTACTTATTTAAAAGCTCATTATAGTAGAAGATAAAGCAACTCTAAAATGTAACAATTTAACACCCACAAAACCTTAACTATTGTGCTGTTGTTGCAGAGACAGAGAGTGCTTTGGACCTGATTAGCGTAAGAGATTTGATAATCAGGATGCCTTGGCAAGAACAAATGGAAATTTGAAGATTGCAAGATGACTGGATCAGACTGGCAACAGGGAAGAAGATTGAATCAATTTCTGCAAATAGAAGAGATGTTGCAAAAATGTACAAGCTTGTTTGTATGATGATTAACCCAATCACTGTAGCAAAAAATTACTAGCCTTCCTAGAATGGTATAAAAAATATGCAGCCCACAGTAAAATCGGATTCTGATCAGCAGTCAGTTGTCCCCATCTCTCTCTCAATCGCCGATACTGTGAGAGTCCCAGAGGCACACGTTAATCCACTCAGTAGGAAATGTTACCATCCTTCTCAACTATTAGTAGCTACTATCTCAGTCTGAATTGTCGTTTGAAGTGGTCAGCACTGAAGCAGCACAAGAGACCTCATCTTGTGATGAGGTAACCTCCAAGAGAGGAATAGTAATATTTTAGGCCACTGCAGCTGCTTGCCAAGGAAAACTGTAATTCTTACTTCCTTGCTTTTGTATAATTGTGAAAGATCCATGCATTTACCCTGCAACTTTGTGAGACATACACTGTCCCAGATAAAGTATATACGAGATTCAACTCCTTATAGAGAACATATTTTAACGTTATTGTAGAAATCAATAATTAAATTGAACCTATGATTTACAGTCTAGTGATAATAAAATTAACCAAAGTGCTCTTCTCCCTCCATATCTGCAATTTTGCTTTTTTTTTTTTACTGATATTTATCCCAGGTAGAATTACATAGGCATAAGTTTCCTCTCAAAGGTTTTAGTTGTTAGTAGTATTATGCACATTCTCAACTCAATCTCAAGTGAGAGGAGGAATGTGCTCAGATTAAGTTTTTTGTTGTCTTTTCCCTCAGGGTGTGTGAAAGTGACAATCATTCCAGCAGGTACTCATTTTAAACCTCTGTGGTGGCAGGCAGAGAGATTCTCTGACACATCTCTCCTCTGTCAAAGAAACATTCAAAGATCTCTGGCTCAACTATACAAGCCTGAGTTCCCAGCTTCAGAAAAAGAAGAGCCATTCCACTGCTGCTCTCCCTTCCTTTTTCCCCTCCCTTTCTTGCAAGTGTTCTTATGCCCTTGTCCTGACTTCATGCCCTGAATACCAATATCAGACACTGGAGTTATTTATGGATTCCTGAGAATATTTTCCAGCCAATTTCACTGAATTTTAAGTAAGGAGAATGTTTTCAGCCACAAAGGCTCTTAATAATTTGACTTGATAACATATAAATCTTCTGCAGCTGCCTCGGTGGAAAACATACAGAGAAAAGCAGGGAAATTCAGAGAAAGCGTCTCCTGACTTGGGTAAATAATTTTTTTCCAGTTACTAGTGATTTCTTCTTAAAATCAACTGTTGCAAGAAAGAACACCTCCATAACTCTTCTTTAAACACCAAACTTATTCCTCAAGCTGGGATGGATGATTTAATGGCTTGAAAGGTGAGCAGGAGGCAGCAGCTGTTTGTGGTTGGTGAGGATTGGGTGTACTAGGTACCCACCTAGTACACCTAACTTCTGTCTTCTGAAGGAAAGAAAGAACAGCACTGCCTCCAGTCTTCCCTACTCTCTTTTTCCGTGTGGTAGAAAGGTGTCAACCCAGCCTGCAGTCTTAGACTCACAAAAGATCTCTGAGGAGACATTCACAGAGCTGTGCTTAGGAAGAGGCACTCTGATGACACCTAATACTGACTCTTCCACACTTCCATTTCCCCAGCTCTATTTCTTCTTAAGAACTGTCAGAGTAATACCTACAGTCTGAGAAGGAAAACAAAGTGGAGGAAACAACCGGGGGAGGGGGTAGGTGTGTGAGAGAAAATAGTAATTATAATAGCAGTAAAGCTCTAGCCAGGGAAACCATGTATTATCTTACTGCTAAACAGGACTAAATCCACTATATATAAATACTGAAGAGGCCTGATCAGCAACTGTGTAAAATGTTATGTTTAACTTTTTAAAACAGATCAATTTAAGCCACAAGAAATAACAGAAAAAGGGCCATTATGATGTATATATGTGGGGGAATATCTTCAAAAATACTCAGAAAGCTTGGCTTGTTTGTTCTAAGAAAAGAAAGCCCTTAACGTATAACAGGGAATTTCATATTTGCAAATCACTGCTATCCTATATTCCTGACTTCCCAACACTGATTATAAAAAGGCTTTTTAGCATGTGGTCAGGCCTAAAACATTTACTGGATATGTCTTAATACTCTTCCAGGACCAACTGTAAAGATAGCACAGGTTTCTGACACTGCTGAGTTTGGATCACATACTATTTAGCCTTCCACCCTACATTTCATCAAGGATCTGAATGTCAAGAGTACCTTCGTAAACTTGCTGCGTAAACTATTTGGAGGCAGCCTCAAGCATGCTGTATCACAATTCAAAACACTTGTTACAAGAAAGAGATGAGATGCGGGTGAGGGAAAAAAGCCAGGAGAAAGTTTAATGTGGACGAGTGCAAGGTTCTGTAGTTGGGGAAGAAAGTACTCAGACATGAATGGAAACAAAGGCTGCAACTTATTTTGCACTAAGTGCCACTGGGGCTGGAGGGCATCCAGAGCCGAGCACAGGGTCAGCGGTGACAATCCAGTGCCAGAGAGCAGATGCGATCTGCAGTTTGAAATGAGCTGGAAGAAATAGAGCCAGTAAGGCAGATGAAGTAATTAATTCTCTTGCTTTAAACCACGGTATTTCAGCAGATGCACTGCTTTCAGATTTGTACAGTTCAAGAAAGGCACTGCCAGACTGAGGTGACCCCGAGCGAAGAGCACGACGGTGCGCACAGAAGCACGGAGTGCAGCTACAGGAGGGACACGGCTGTGGCGACAGCACTACGGACTGGGCTGGACACCAGGACAACCGGCCCGGGCAGCACCGACAGCTCAGCACCCATGAACCCTCCAAGGTGCCTCAAGGAGAAAAAACAGCCACAGGCCCTGCCTGGGGACCGCTCTGAGCACAGCACCCACCGCCGACCGGGACCCGCCGCCCTCGGCGGAGCGGGCGG